AAAAATTTTAAGTTATTTTGTAATTATATAATTCAGTCAATTTAAAAATAAAATTAAAACTAAGGTAACTATATTAATTTTAATATTTTATAATTTAAACAAACTAAAATTAATGTCCATTTAAATTAAACTTTTTTTTTTGAACATGAAATTAAATTTTAATCAAATTAAATCAATCAGTTTGAATAAGATAGCAACAGTTATAGACAAAAGTCAAGTAATAATGTCTCTACCACAATTTTAATGTTTGATTTGTCTTTGAAGTAGCAGGGTTTTTCTATGACGGATTTTATCCTTTTTTTTTTTTTTTTCTCAGGGTTAAAAACCTACAACTTCATACAAAAAATTTTTAAAATTTTTAAAATTAATAATATTGTTACAATATTATATAGTATTATAAATTTATAATATAATGTATTATTATAAAATTAATTTTTTTATTTAAAGATTATTTATAATATTATATATATTTATTTGTTTCATTTTATATCATATTTTATTGAATATTAAGTAAAATTATTTATTTTAATTTTATATAATATTATAATTATAATATTATCAATTTTTTAAATCAAATTATAATATTTTTTATTAATTAAAACTACATCATTTCTAAAGTTTCTATAAAAATATAGGACAATGATAGGCTTACCATCTGCTGTTACACATCTATCCACACATTAACGGAATCCATCAAGTACACACCGATCATTTTTCTTCTTTCCGTCACCTCTTTCTTTCTTTCTTCTTCTTTTTTTTTTTTTCTCTCTCTCTCGGTGGAGAACCCGAGTTGGGTTCTCAAGAACCCAGGTCGGGTTCCCACCGTGAGAACCTAGCTCAGGTTCTCAAGAACCCAGCTCGGGTTCTCTGGTGAGAACCCAGATTTGGATTCTCACCAGAGAAATAAGAGGAGAGAGAAAAAAAGGTTAGGTAACCAACACCGTCAATTTGCATAATGGAGATAGTTAGGGTGTAATAAAATGTGTAACGTTAGAGTGTGTGTATATCTTTTTCCAAAAATATAACATTTTGTGATTTATTAAAAAAAGAATATTTAAAATTTTTAAAATTTTAATTATCAAAACTTCTTAAACTTTTCCTTTTTTTATTAAAACCTAAAATTATTTTAGTATTTTTTTAGCTCAAAGTGACGCCAACCAGAACTAATTTTTCACTTCAATTTTATCCAAAAACTCCAAGTTGAAAATTTTAAATTCAAGTTTTAAGTTGAGTAAAAAGAGATTTGAGAATAGAAAAAATTATCTCTTTTTATATAACTTATAATTAGGTCAAATTATTAATTAATTAAATCTAAACAATAAAATTTAAAAATAAACTTTTAGATTTGAAAAGTCGAATCACATTATTAATAATATTTGTCTTATATTCAAATGAATCTTTCAAATTGAATATTTTTTCATCCAGTATAATTTAAGAGTAAGAGATAAAGGATTTTAGTATAACACTATTAATTTGAATATTAATTATTATTAAAATATTAAATATATCTAATAATTAACTATGTTCAAAAAAAAAAATCTAATAATTAACTTGTAAGACGTGATGATTTGAAGTAATTTCTGCCGCAGACACGACACTGGGGCAACCGGTAGTTTTGTCTTCTACTTGCCCCTTGTCAATATATTGGCAAAAAGTAAAATAAAGGCAAGATCCTTGACGTTTTATGTTTCATTAGGAAACACCTGTATGAATCTTGCTTTTGTTTTCTAGGAAGAGAAAAATATAGTGCTTCCATGAACCATGATGTTCAATAATGCAATCTATCTAGGAGCATGTATGTGGGTTATCTTAATAGTCTTGTCATTTTCTGGCGTTTTTCCTAATATGTTCTTTTGTTTCACTTTCATCATTACTACAAAATAGAAATTATAATTTAAGATTTTTTTATTTAGTACATTAAATACACATATTAATAATATAATAAATATGTTTTTATTATAAATTTATATTAAAAAATAAAAATTAATTTTTAATTTATTAATTATTTAAAATTTTTAAACAACTATTAATTATCTAATTAAATTCATCTATATATATCAAGGTTTTTAAAATTGGACCAAATTGACCGATTGAACCGGTCGAATCGGTATCTAAGAATGAAAATGATTTGGTTTACATAAAAAAACCGTTTAATGTCAAAATCGATCAAAACCGATCAAAAATTGGTTAAAATTGGTAAAACCAATAAAAACCAATAAAAACCGATGAAACCGATAGAACCAAAAAAACCACTGGTTCAATTTCTTATGCAATCTTCTTTCAATTTTTTCCAATTTCACCCTTTCCATTCCATTCTTATACCCATTTTAACCTTTAATTTTAACAAAATTACAAAATTATCAAATACCAAATTAAAAAATCCATGACAGCTTGCTCCTCTCATCAAATGTTCCTTGCTGTTTGGACCGGCTGGTTCACCGGTTGAACCAGGGACCGGACCTAAAAATGGTTCAATGATCGGTTTGATTTTAAAAACCTTGATATATACCAATACTAAAACTAATCTATCTAGTACAAACACTTTTATATCTTTACGGTCCATCCCTTCTTGTCCTCAATGGAACCAGATTGAATCCCAGTCAGGGCTACATGCAGCTTAAAAGACACGGTCTCTTCTCCAGTTCTGTATTCAAACCTGCATCAAGATGTAATATGGTGAAAAAAAGTAGACCGAAATGAAATATAATAGTTATTTTAAGTGTTTAACTATAAAATATCGAAAAAGTGTCGTGTGCTTCTATTAAAAAGGAAACAAGTGTTGTGTACTTTGAAAACTTCAACATTAGAGAGTGACAGGCCCTTGATAATAGGAGTTTGTCGCCTCTATTTAATAGTTTGCGTTTTACACTGCAAATCAAGACACCTATGACATACACCAACTTCTGAAGTTGCCAAATCTACCTTTTGTCTTGGTAGGTTATACTAGCAACAGGGGTCACACCAACTGCAGTTCCAGTGCAAAAGACTTCATTGGCATCAAACACATCCTCTACTGGAATATCACGCTCCTCAACCTATTTTCAATTTAAAGTTTGCTTTTAAATCTTTTTCCATAATCAAGTTTCTCCTAAATATGTCATCAATTTACTAGTATTTGAAGTTCTTTTGAAAACATAACCAATGTCTATCACCTGGTAGCCAAAGTCCTTTGCAAGTTCAATGATGCTTTTCCGAGTGATCCCTGGAAGAATGTTTCCATTTGTTGCAGGAGTTGACAGAATATTTCCCTACCAAAGATTGTCATTATGATGTAAAAGTGTTGGCATGGCAGCAATTATTGACTGTAAGATGGAGTGTTTTCAATGACCATTTAGATTTGGTTTTGATCAATTTCATTGAGTATGATTTATGAGAAGAATACCTTCAGCATAAAAATGTTACATCCAGAAACCTCCTCGATATATTTTCCAGTGAGAGAATCAAGAAACAACACATCAGAGAACCCTTTAGCTCTTGCTGCACCTGCGGCTTTAATAGTCTATATGGGAACAAAAACAAAAGCAACAAGTTAATAGAAAATTATGCTTGGCCAAAAAAAAAGAGAATATTTTGTAGTGCACTCACACCTCCTACACTTAATATTTGGAAAGAACAAAACCATGGCAAGGCATTCTTGCTACAGGAAAACTATGAAAAATGATATCCTTACAGGTGAATAGTTGACAACAGCTTTGATGTCTCCAGTTCCACCAGGGATAGCTCTATGAAACTTCTCTTCAACAACCAAGTTTAAACCAGTCCCAGCCTATCAGATACACATGATGCAATGTCACTAAAATGCACTTCGAAACAAAATGGTAGTGGCCTTGTCAAATAAGGAACCGACATAGAAGAGCTAATACTAACATCACATAAGAAACGGAAAAATACATTTCCTAAGAACATTTGGTATTTTACCTTTTGATAGTTGCCAACAGGACTAGCAAAAACTAGAAATGTATATTCAGTTGCTGCCCGTAAGCCCAGAACAGAGCTGCTTCCCATGAGCGTAGGCCTAAGATAAAGTGCTCCTTTTCCTGGAGGAGGTATCTATGTCCAAGTGAAAACAACAAATGGTAAACCAAAATGAGCAGGACATATTGTTGGAATTATTGTTAGAATAGAGCCATTCCAATCTGCAAAAATGATGAAATGAAGCTGCCATCAAATGGCAGCAATAAAGCTGAAAATTGACAGCTAATGAGGCTGCAGTTTGACAGCTAAAAAAGTAGCAAGTTAGCTGCATTGTTATGGTCATTTAATGACAGAAAATTGAAACAGCAATTCATGAAGATGATGATGCTGTGAAATGCAAATGCAAAGGTAAATCAAATGCAAATGAAATGAATGGATGCATATTTGATAGTCAAATGACAGTAAGCATGCTGCAAAAGGGCTGTCTTTGCTAGTTTTTGATATATTCCAATTTTTATTTTTGATGTAGAAAAGTTTTGCTTAGACAAAATAAGAAAACTTTTTGAATTGTTTTTAGGTTGCTATATAAAGCAAAGATTGTTAATGAGAAATTTAAGTTAGAGTGTTGTACTCCTCTCCATTTTAGTTTAAAGGTTCTGCTCTTCCTCTTTTTCCTGGTTTTCTCTCCATTTCTTTGTGAAAAAAACCAACACACACAGTTAGACAAGCTATGTCAAACAATAACAATCTCTTTGCCTCTCGATTTGGTTTCTTGGAGAAGGGATTAGATTAATACCCAACGCTTGTTGGCAAGAATTGTTTGTTTTACTGCATCTACAAACTGCTCCACCGAGGGTGATTGCATACACATCCTCTCTGCACCCATCTTCATCCGCAGAGCATTTTCCTCTGGTCGAAATAGTAGAATACTACCATCATCCTCTTTCCTATAAGCTTTTAGACCTTCAATCAATCCCTAAACAAAATGGTTTGTATTAAGTGATGTCTTATTAACTCCCACATTAATCAACACTCTCAAAGTTAGGAAAAATGAATAAAATTGAACATTTTTTGGTGTACGGTGTACCTGTCCATATTGAAGAACTGTGGAACATGGGCTGAGTTCTATGTTCCTAAAGGGGACGAGGGCTCCTTGAGAAAAATTCTCCCCTCCACAACATCGCATCATGCACATAAAATCAGTAGGAGTAAAAGAAAATCCGAGCTCATCCCAATTCACATCAGCATATTTTTCAACCCCATCACTGCTTAATATTCATATAACCAAAAACAAAATCAATTAATAAAAAGGGTTATGACATCAACATAAAAAGATTGTCTAAGCATAGTGATTATATTTTACCTGTGGGGATTGGGTTCGAAAGATAACAAAATCTATTAATAGAAAGGATTATGAAATCAACATAAAAAGATTGTCCAAGAATAGTGATTAGAATTTACCTGCGGGGATCGGGTTCTGTAGATTTCTGCATTCCGTCTATGAAGCTGTAGCTGCAGCAAATCAAGAGTTGAAATGTTGGGCAATATCAAGAATATAAAGGGACTAGACTTTGTCATGCTCTTACCAAAGTTTTGTCGGCTAAACCATACATTTAGGCTCTTATTTTATTAAATGTGAAACTTTTAACCTTTTATTTTATACTATGAAGCTTTTAACTCTTAAACTTAAAAGTTTGAAGATTTTAGCCCCTTAACTTATGAAATCCATTAAAAATCTTGTTAAAATAAGAATAAAATATTTATAAAATCAGTTCTCAAAAATTAAAATGTAATAATTTAATTTTAAAAGTTTAAAATTTAAAAAAATTAGTAAATTAAAAGAAATTAACAAATGAATTTTTTATATATAATAGAATAATATTATATATCTATAATAAATCGAGTAGTTAACTCAATTTAAAGAAAAAATTCTAACTGAGATTAAAAAAATTTTTTTAATTGAATTGAGACAAAAATTCTAAAAGACTAAAAGAATATAGTTAAATTTTTTTTTTAATCTCAGTCAAATTTTTTTCTTTAGATTGAGCTAATCACTCAATTTTATTTTAGATATCTAATATTGTTCTTATGTACACGACAAAAACATTCATTAATTATTTTTAATTTACTAATTTTTTTAATTTTAAAATTTTTTGAACTAAATTATTATATTTTTAATTTTTGAGAATTGATCTTGTAAATATTCTATTTTTACTTAATGAAGAGTTAGCGAATTCCATTAGTCAATGGGTTAAAATCTTCAAACCTTTAAGTTTATAGACTAAAAGTTTTATAGTATAAGGTAAGGGGTTAAAAACTTCAAATTTAGTAAGGTAAGGGACTAATTGTATACTTTAGCCAAGTTTTGTCATGGTAAACAATTATATTTTTATAAAACAATTATATTTTTATATTTTGGATTGACAAATTCTTACCTTGTAGGCTGTGATTTCTCACCTACCTACTTTTAACCGATGAAACAAAACTTCTGCTGCCATTGAAGTAAAAGAAGAATTTTCAAATCTACTGAATCATGATTAGGTGGGGTTTAAAACAAAAGAAGAGGTCTATCTGTTGTTGCTGAATTACTCATAATTCTACGTATTGGTTGGTGGGAATCTTGATTCCTCGATGTTTCATTCATTAGGAAACTGTATGGATCATGCTTTTCTTCTTTTGACAGATATTCAAAAATTTAGAGCATGCATCAAGTCAAGTTCAGTGACAAATTCTTTCATCCCTTTGCTTAGGAAGAACAAGTGTTTGAGTTACTCTAGTACTCTTTGCCTTTTCCTAGGTGGATTCTCTTTGTTCATCGTTTTTAAATTGAAATCTGTAGGATTATTGCTCATATTAAAATGAATGAAAATTCATAAGGCGAATACAACATTCAACAGCAAAGCATAACTATCAATAGACTTGAAGCAAGTAATCAATCCAGTAAAACACACAGAAGTTTGTGTAGGCACTAAGAATGAAAGGTGTAACACAAAAAATTTGCAAACGAAGGAAGGAGTTTTTCAAGAATTACAATTTCATAACTTTACTGTCCATCCCAACTTGTCCTCAAGGCAGCCGGTTTGAATCCCGATCAGGGCTGCAGTAGTTTCTGAGAC